TTTCTCAATAACCCTGTGAAGTATGTGCTGTTATTATCCCCATTTTGCAGATGAGAAAACTGGAGCTGAGGCAGTTGGGTTATATGTCCAGAGTTACATAGCTTGATAGTATCAAAGGCAGGATCTAAACCCAGGTCCTTATTCTAGTCTTACACTTTCCGCTATACCACACGGACTCAACATTCACTTCCCTTTCCTGAGTTCAGTATATTAAAAATATTATCTAGACGTGATATATCATAAAAGAATGAAGTGAAAAACTCAAAACTTTTCTTTAATGCCATGCCATTTTAAAAGGGGGGGAGGGGGAACCATTGGAAAAAGCAAGCTGTGTTTTTATAATCAGAGTTTTGTATTGAAGGGGATAGGAACAAAAGGAAAAACTTGTCTGGCTGTTATAAAACACTCGTAGCCTGGATCTTGTGTCTTACAGAGAAAATTAGAAGCTGAACTCTTACAAATAGAAGAACGTCACCAGGAGAAGAAGAGGAAGTTCTTAGAAAGCACAGATTCATTTAATAATGAACTCAAGAGGGTAACAGTTTAATATATTAATTCTATTTGTGATAGGAAATTTTTTTCTTTATTATTTTTGGAACCAACTTTTGATTTCGTTGGCATAGGGAAATCCCTTTGAGAAAAACTCCCAACAAAGGTTGGCAGCAAATGTTCTGCAACCTATGGTTGTATTAGAGTTGCTTGGCACACTGAGAGGTTAAGTGACTTGACATGGTCATACAGCCATTGTGAGTTACAAGTAGGACTTGAACTCAAGTCTTTCTGATTCTGAGCTCAGCTCTTTACTACACAGTGCTGCCCCTCTCCAAATTAATTTTACTATAGTTTTTATCCCCTTTTGAAAGAGGAGTGACTTAACACCAATTTATAACTGCTCATTTATGACAAAATTAGAATTTAGTTTAAATATATTTATATATTATAGTAAAACTGTCAAACAGTATGCATAAGTATGAAGTCTCATCAGATGTGATTCACATGTGACTTCTCATAATGACTAGTAAACCTAGATTTTAGTAACTCAGGATGAGAAATTGAAGTCTTCTACTCACTCCTGTATTTTCATTATATTACTGACTGCTTTGTAATAACAGTTGTGAGAGAACTTTTGGAACCATTAATTTTCATGGCTTTCTTTGTCTCACTGAGAAATAAATGACAGATAACTAGAAACAGTGATGATTTATCTCGCAGAAGGCCTAGATTCACACCTTCTTGTAGGCATGCAATATGACATTTTGTGTATATTTATAAATCCATTTTTAAGCCACATTTACTTGTTTAAAGTGAAACTTTGCTAAGATGGCTGTGTTTTTCCTTCTGACTTGTAGTTGTGTAGCTTAAAAGTGGAGGTGGACATGGAAAAAATAGCAGCTGAAATTGCCCAGGCAGAGGAACAAGCACGCAAACGGCAGGAGGAACGAGAGAAAGAAGCAATGGAGCAGGCAGAGCGCAGTCAGAGCGGTGTTAGTGCCGCTGCCACTGCTGCCGCCACCGCCGCTGCTGCTGCCGCCACCGCTGATGATGACCAGACAGCCAGCAAAGGTGATGAGAAGAAGGAAGAGGAAAGCACTCCGATGGAGACAGGTAGTAACGTCTGTCCTTGTGACACTGTCTAAAGCCCTGTGAAGTGAGGGCAAAGCATACTCCTCCAAGTGTGGGCTGTGGGATATGGTGTTTAACCTTTCCCTTTATACAATTATCCAGAGAGGCCGTAACAGATTAAAAATCTAGTTCTAAGTAAAGGCTTTCAAACAAACTGAACTCCTCTTCTTTCTTCAGAAATTATCAGAAAATAATTGCCGTTTTCTTGTATATAATGACAGGTATCCCCTGGAAAACTTGTAAAATTTTGTAGAATTCACAGGTCTGGTACTGGAAGGGACCTCAGAAGCCATCTAGTCCAATTCTCTCATTTTATAGATTAGGAAACTAAAGCCCAGAGATTATGACTTGCCAAAGATGACAATACTCTAAGGTGGGATTGGAGCCCAGGCCATCTGACTCCAAAGCCAGTGCTGATTTCACTGTTCCACACTGTTTGACAGAGTCCATTTTAAAATTTTCTAGTTCCCTTAAACCTTTACCACCTAGTACCTGCTACCAGTCCTCTCCAATGTACAGGCAGGATCAGTCTGAAAATATTCAGAGAAGCAACCAGATATCCCACTCCTCTCCCAAACCTTAATTCAGAGTAGGAGAGGCATCCTTTAAACCCCCAGGCTTCATATTCAGATATTTTATGTCCTCATTTCACATGTGAAAAGTAAATATTGTCCTTGTAAAAACTTAATTTAGTAGATTAACACTTCAGATAGTAAAATTAAAAGTTTAATTATCTATGTCTCTTACTGTTTAGCATGAACATATTTTTGATCTTGGTAAATTTGGAGAGCAAAGCACATCTTGTGGTTAAAGTAGAGCTTGACAATCAGAATCTTGTTTTCATCAGATTTTACCACTAGACAAAACATACAGTCCTTTGTTTCATTTCATCATTTGTAAATAAGCTCTTGCTTATTTATAAAAGATTTTTTTTCCAGCCCATTAGTGGAAGCAGTAAAGATTTAAAAATATTTGTGAGCCTTCAGATTTATGGGATCTTTTTATATGTAAAATTACTTCTGGGGTCATTTGAGAGACACATCGCTCTCCCAGGAAAAGGGGACCAGTTCCAAACCTTAGTAGGTTATTGGGACTGAGGATTTATATTCTACCTATTTGGTCACTTGGGAGAAATCCATTAAGCTGGAATATCTCCTGGGGAATGAAAAATAGAATCATTAGCACATTGATGACCTATTATGCCCCCTGAAACTGAGGGGGAATAAAGTGTTGTTCTATCAGGATAATGGGAAAAATGCTGGCTCCTAATCCCAGCAGCTTGTTTTTTGTTTAGTTTGGTTTGGTTTAAAGGTACAAATATAAAAAAGAAGAGAGAGACTCAGATGACTAACTTGAGCATAGGATGAGGGACCAATCTTACATTGGGCCACAGCCAAGCAGGAAACCTTAAGAATGGGGCTCCAGAGGCATGCAGAATCATGGCAGGGCCAAGGATTCTCAGAGGACTCTAGGTCAACAATTACAAAACATTCTCCACACAAACAAAGACAGATCAAAATAATTGAAGAATATTAATTGATCATGGGTAGGCCTAGCTATTATAATAAAAATGACAATACTACCTAAATTAATTTACTTATTCAGTGTAATACCAATCAGATTACCAAAGGATAGAGCTAGGAAAAAATAAATTCACCTGGAGAAACAGGAAGGTCAAAGATATCAGGGGAATGGGGGGGGGGGGGTGATACAAAGGAAAGAGGGCTTATCAATACTAGATCTCAAACTGTATTACAAAACAATCTGTTACTGTATAAGAAATAGAGTGATTGATCTGTGGAATGGATTAGGTACACAATATACAGAAGGAAATGAGCGCAATAACCTAGTGTTTATTCAAAGATCCCAGCTATTGGAGTAAGAACTCACTATTTGACAAAAACTACTGGGAAAACTGGACAGTAGTCTGATAGAAATTAGGCATAGACCAGCATTTCACACTATATACCAAATTAAGGTCAAAATGGGTATATGATATGGATAGTTTTGATTATAATAAAATTAAAAGGTTTTTGCACAGATAAAACCAGTGCAGCCATAATTAGAAGAAAAGCAGGAAACTAGGGGAAAATATTTCACAACTAGTTTTTCTGATAAAGGTCTCATTTCTTATATAGGGAATGGGACCAGATTTATAAAAATAAGAGCCATTTTCTAACTGATAAATGATCAGATGATATGAACAGACAGTTATCAAAGGAAGAAATCAAAGTTATCAATAATCACGAAAAAATGCTCCAAATCACTAATAATTTAGAGAAATGCAAATTAAAACAACTCTGAGGTACCATCTCACACCCAGCAGGTTGGCTAACCTGACAGGGAAAATAACAAATGTTAAGAGGGTTGTGTGGAATTGGGGACATGTTGACTGCTGGTGAAGCTCTGAACTAGTCAAGCCATTCTGGAGAATCATTTACAACTATACCAAAGGACTATAAAATTGAATACCCTTTGATCCAGCAATACCACATTCAGTATATTGGGCTATACACCAAGGAGATAAAAGGAAAAGGACCCATATGTACAAAAATATTTATAGCAGCTCTTTTTGTGGTGGCAAAGAATTAGAAATTGAGGGGATGCCCATCAATTGGGGAGTGGCTGAACAAATTGTAATATGTGATTGTGATGGAATAATACTATGCTATAAGAAATGAGAGGAGATGGTTTCAGAAAAACCTGGGAAGATGTAAGAATCGATGCAAAGTGAAGTGAGTAAAACTCGAGAACATTGTACACAGTAACAGCAATATTGTAAAAATTGCCAACTGTGAAAGACTTAGATCAGTGCAATGATCCACCACAGTTCCAAAGGACTAATGATGAAAAATGCTATTCACCTCCAGAGAGACAGCTGATGGACTTCGAGTGCAGATTGAAGCAAATTATTTTCCTTTCTTTTTTTCTTTTTTTTTTTTTCCGGATGGGTGGGTAGGAACGTGGTCAATGTGGAAATGTTTTGCATGATTTAAAAAAAAAGAAGAAAACTCCCAGTTCATAGGTTCATAGATTTAGAATATGAAGGGACCTTGGAAGCCATCTAATCCACCCTCCATTACCCACTCTCTTCCCCCTTCCCCCCCAATTTTGCACATGAGGAACTGACCTAGAGAAGATAAGTTGCTTTCCCAAGATCATTAAAGAGAAATTAGTAAACTTTTGAGCTACCTAGCTAACTTGTGTAGTTTTTTTTTGTGAACACTTTGAACTATTATATGGCCTTATATTGATATTTCCAAATATATATTAGTCTCCTTGTGAGCAAAGCCTAGAAAAAACAAACTTGGTCTGGTAAGTGTGTGACATAGGAAGAAGGGAAAGAAAAGGGATTTAGCATAAGAACCAGGTAATCTGTTCTTACTTCAGTAGCTCATATACTAAAATTAGAACAATGCTGAAAAGATTAGCATGTCCCCTGTGGACAGATGACACACAAATTCATGAATTGTGCCATATTTTTAACACTTGGGACTATTTTGGGGTGGTAGGAGAACTAGGTGATCCAGCTGAGGTTGTGGTGGGAAGGTGAAAGGACAGTGAATTCAGGGTGGGGTGGAAGTTCAGGTTAATTCAGACTCTTCACAGTGTCCTGTGTATAAGGCATAGAATTTATAACTGATAGAGAGGAGACCTGGGCCAGCATAACTGCTTATTAACTTGAGATCTAGATCCCTCTTTGATCTGACGAAAAGGGGATTGGGGTCTCCCGGTTCAAGTTTTCCATAGAAGCTATTAAACCTTTATTCTCATGTTTTAACGGAAAAAGACTGAAGAAAATTGCATTAATAGCTGTCAGACCAAAATCCTTGTTCTTTTATTTTTAACAAGAAACAGCCAAGGACCAAGTATTGGTTGGCTGTTTCTCTGGAATTCTTGATTTAAGGCTTTTGGAACAGCTTTAACATTTAATAACAATATACAATAATAATTTTGCCACATTTCACCCCAAGAACTGCTTGTCAGCATATTTAGGGATAGTAAATCTTAGCCTTCAGACTGACAGTGAAAAAATATCTGATTGCAGAAGAGACACACCCAGAGGAAACTACAGAAAGTCAACAAAATGGTGAAGAAGGAACATCTACCCCTGAAGACAAAGAGAGTGGCCAAGAGGGAGTAGATAGTATGGCAGAAGAAGGGACCAGTGACAGCAACACTGGGTCAGAGAGCAACAGTGCAACAGTGGAAGAACCTTCAACAGACCCTGCACCAGAGGACAGTGAGAAGAAAGAATAAATGTTGAATTCCATGTGTTTTGAATTATTTTTTTTAATGAAATACTGTTTTTGAGTTTTAATGGTGTTTTGTGGTTTGTGTATATGCTCTCTTTGTCCCTCACCAAAGACTACTGCACCACTTAACCTGTGATATCCCTAGTGGTACAATGGCCTTTCTTCAGCAGTTGTGTAGAAATCACTGTTTTCTTCGAACTTTGTTTCTAGTCTTGACTACTTAAAGCCTCAAACTTTAGTGGATGGAAGGAATTTCCATCTCTTTTTATAGAATTAACTTTTGATGCCGTAGACTCGACTCAACTCAACTTGACTCTTAAAGATGCCTTTACATGTTTTACTTGGGTCCTTAGCAAGGCCTCAGCTTTAAACTTTCTTGGTTCCTGTCAGCAGTGTTGAAGCACCCTTAGCCTGCTTATCTCTGCTGAGGCAGGATTTACACAGCTGGATGTTCCATACACCTCACTGGTGTTTTGGCTCCTCAAGTGAGGTATCCTCAGAGATGAGCACCGCAGGCTTTGAGTGGCCTCACCTCCCACACCTGGGCCATGTTCATCTACTGACTATCCCTGTAGGCAACAGGAATAATAGTTAGTGAAATAGGTCACTCCACAGGGACATGAAAAACATGTCATGTTGTATAGTTTGCTCTAATTCATCCAAGTTTCTGTCATGGGAATGAATATCATCCATTTTTAGTTGATCCAGTTAATTCAAGAAACTTTTTTTTTAAACTATCCAAAGATGAAGAAGATCCCAAACTTAAGACAATTCAAAGTGCATTATATAGACTAAAGAGGCCTGGTGGTACAGTGGGCAGAGGGCTGGGCTTGGATCCAGAAAGACCTGGATTTCATTACAGCCTCTCACACTGATTAGCCATTTGACTCTGGACAAGTCTCGTCACCTTTAGAAGTTGAGGCAGTTCCCTAGGACCTACCTGAGTCAGAAAGGTTGAAACTCATCTCCTTTGCAGAGGAAAGTCCCATACTGGGAGTTTCCCACACTGATAACATAATAGATATTTGTGTGTATATAAAATAAGCAGACCTCCTGAAGCAAATAGCCTGTTTCAAAGCACTCAGCTGGGAGTTGTCCATTGATTTTTTTCTTTTTAAGATAACAGGAAACAGTTTTACAATCATATTAGAATTAAAACTTCAAGCTGCAGATTTCCTCAGTCAGAGCCTACCTTTTTGATGCAACTTCATGGAAACAAGACAGTACATGATGAATCTCCTTTATGAAAAGGAAACATTAAATACTGGCATATCCAATGACATGTGTCTTTTTAAAATTTCTAATATAATAAAATGTTTTGGTCTTTCAAGTAGTGTTTTTTATACATGGGTTAACACATGCAAAGTACAACTTAGTTTCATTCCTTGCAATTCAGGAACATTTGTACAAAGGAAGTGACCAACTGGATCACCTCTATGAGATATGGCTAGAAAGGAACAAAATAGCCCACAGACCACAAAGACAATAGGTGTCTTTTACTTTATACCTCATAGAGATTTGTTCTTGACTCTCAACTGTTACAGGCAAAATGTTGGTCTACTCAAAAGTCTGAAGAGCAGGCAGAAGTACAAGGTACCCAAACTGCCTTGGAAAAAGATAGCTGCCCACTTAAACACTAAAAATTAGGCACTCTATTGGGTAATTAGCATTGGAAAGGAGACCTTCACAAAACTATGTAAGCATCCAGATATGAATGCTTCCCTGATGTAACTCAGTCTCAGAAGTCACTCCTCAAATCTAGGTTGGGTCCTCATATAATCAATCACCTTCACCTGCCTCATAGCCTTTTGACCAAAGCTTGTGATTGGTGACATTCAGTCCCACTCTTCATGACCCCATTTGGGATTTTCTTGGCAAAGATATTGGAGTGGTTTACTATTTTCTTCTCCATCTCATTTTATAGATGAGGAAACTGAGGCAAATGGGGTGAAATGACTTGAATCATGCAGCTAGTAACTGAGGCCAGATTTGAAGATGAGTCTTCCTGACTCCAGGCCTGGTGTTCTGTGCACTATGGCGCCACCTAGCTGCCCCATTGGTGACTGGCATAACTACAGATCTCAGAACATGGAGTGTTTTGCCCAGGAATTACCAGTTGTTGAAGGTAGGACAAAGCTTTCCTGTCTCCTTTTTCTGAGATAATGAAACTTGAGGAATTACTGGAAGGTCTCAAGTCTCCACAGAGGAAGGAAATGTCCAAAATAGAAACCTAGCACACATTCCCAGCTGGAAGAAGGCAATCATGGGGGAAAGGGTTATAATGGTATATAAATAGTTTTATTTGTTAATGTTTTGTTTTCTTTCCCAAATGAGATCAAATATCAAATGAGAAAATATATGCCAAGCATTTAGTACAGTGCCTAGCACATAGTAGGCATTTAATATAAAAATTCTTGTTTCCTTTCTTCCAATGTTCTAATCCTCTAGGCTGCAAACTCTGAGGAGATGAGCCTGTGCTGTGAAAGATGATTCTTATTAAGGTATGGGTTTAACCAGCTGGCTTCCAAGATTCCTTCCAATTCAGACAATGTGGTTCCAGCTTTATCAGGATCTCTGAACATTCCTTGTATGTTCTCATAGTCAAAAGACATAGTACCTGGAAGACTGTTTCATACAGCTGTGGAGAGGGCCATTGATTACAAAGCTATCTCTAACCAGCCTCCAATAGTGGAGATTTGTCTTGTCTGAAACTCTGCTACAAACTTGCCTGGGCCCAAAATTGGCTTACAACTTGAGTGATTGTGATGCCAAATTATAGGGCTTGCTTCAGAAAAACCTGAATTACAGTTACAGGGCTATACCTGTAATTTCATTTGTATAAGGAGCCTTAGTTGAGGAATTTCTCTACCAGGGCAGTTTGCAACTTTCTTGCACCTTACAGTCTTAGAATTAACTAGAGCACTGAGAAGTTGAATAAGTAATTTCACACAGTAAGTGTCTGTGGCTGGATTTGAACTCAGGTTTTCCTGACTCCAAGCCTAGTGCTTTTTCTGCTGTGCCACTAGCTGCCTTAAACTTAACTTTGGCTCCACCTCTGATTGGTTGGCATCTCTGAAAGTTTATGTGAATTTCTGCATATTTACAAAGCTAAGCTCAGTTACCATGTGCTTCCAACTCCTGACACAGATTTCTGATTATTCTGTGAATTCCTCTTGCCTGCAATTATTAGAACGCATCTTTGGTTTCTCCCACAAAATGTGGATTATGTTTAAGTCCCCACTGCAGAAACCCTACCATGTTCCCCCACCCTCACCCCAAACCAAACACCACCATGCATGTTCATTCTCTCCACAAAGTTTTAGCAAGTGCACACTTTATCTTCTTCACTGTCACCTCTAGGCTGGGCAAAGCCCTTCTGGAAGAACAACAATCAGTTTCTAACAACCTGCCTGTTAAACAAATTGACATCTTTGCAAATAAACAACCTGGCCTGCAGTCACTTAGTGTGAATTCTTCAAAAGAAAAAATGATGAAATCATAATTAGTTCTCTAGGAGTCTTGAGGCAAACTTTGAGTCTATCCCTCCCTTTCTTTTATCTATAAGTTTCCCTAAGGCTGTTATTAATTTTCACGTTGTTATCATAAAAGCATAAGACCTCAGAGTCAGAAGGGATCTCAGAAGTTGTTATTAAAAATTAATCAAATTATCAAATTAAGCAGCTAGGTGGCAGAGTAAATGGAGTGCTGGGTTTGAGTCAGGCAGACCTAGTTCAAATCATGCCTTAGACAGCTGTGTGGCACTGGGCAAGTCATTTAACCTTCCACAACCTTGGTTTCCTCATCTGTAAAATGGGGATAATAATAGTACCCACCTCCCAGAGTGGTTGTGAGGCTCAAATGAAATAATGTGTAAAAGCACTTTGCAAATATTGAAGTGTTATTTGAATGCTAGCTATTATAAAAAACAAAAGATCAATAAAAATGTTTAAAATAATAAAATACATTGCAGAAAAGAAAACAGCAAAGAAGATTTGGGGGGAAAAAAAGAAATTCCTGAAAGTTTTTGTAATGTCCTGTTTCTAGCATACTGGGCATATTGGCTTCTCTTACCTTTCCAGATGATTCAGTGAGTGCTTCAGTTGGCCCCTTTAATAATAATATTTTTATAATAATACTTATTTATATAGTATTTGAAGGTTTGCAAAGCACTTTACAATGATCTCATTTGATCCTCACAAAAACTCTGGGAGATAGGTGCTATTCTTAT